ATCAGTCACGTTTCAGAAAGCTTCTGGAATTTCGCAAGCACATTTTCGAATGTACATCCAAAAATGTGATATTTTCGGATGTTCAACATCCGAAAATAATTTCCTGTGGGCGCTAAACTGTTTTGATGCAAAATCAGAGAGATCTTCAGATGAAGATCCCTCGGATCTAAACACTATAAAGTATAAACTGATTTTGAAAGAAGATGATAGAGAATGTAGGGAAAATCAAATTCTGATATGAGGCCAGATCTACTAAAAAAATAGCATATTTTCGGATGCTCAACATTCGAAAATGTTCACATTTTCTCTTCCAAGTTATGTTGCTCTATAAATGTGCAATAACTATTCATGTTGTCATCATGGCTCAATCATGCCCTTTCCCACAGGTAGTGGCTTTTAGAAAGTTGCACACACCAATTGTCTGAAATTGCACGGAGCATGTTGCTATGTATGTATCTCTTTGTGCATATATATAAAAGGATATGCATGTATTTTTTAAAATTATTTTAGAAAGCAATTGTTTTCATATCTCATATGCTTCGTAAAGAATTGACTTACTGCTTCTTCAAAACAAATACAGATTTACTTTTTTAAAAAAAGTACATTGAACGAATCAAGCCAAAAACAAGTAATAAAGTAGAAAGACTTTCATTTAACGAATTGGGTGGGGTCAAAATGACCAATACATTGCAAGGGTCAAAATGACCAATACATTGGGTGGGTCAAAATGACCAATACATTACAAGGGTCAAAAGACCATTACACTGGCCATCTTCTTTGGGGCTGATATTGTTTCTTTCGTATATTATATCTTCTAGGCTTCTCAGCTACAAGTTATGTGGATAGAGCTAGGTCTTCTGCAGCTCAACTACTTTCACCCACTACATCATGTCCGGGCTCATCAGATACACCTTTGTCATTATATTCATAGTGTAAATTTTTCATCCTGGCTTCTATATCATCCATATCCACAGGCACAAACTTAGAAAACGTTTCAAACATGTCGTTAACGCGATTATAACTTCAGGATACCACTTTTGTCTAAGTGTAAGTGCCTCTGTTAAGATGATTGTAGATGCCTGAACTGCACTAACCTACAAAAACAAGATAGCTAATTAATATATTTAAACAAAATCATGGAATTAATAGCTAAGTACGAGACTAGAAGAATTTGTAGGTCAATATAAACATACCAACTGGTCATCATAACCTCGAAGTCTCATCAAATACTGTGGTTTATGAGCAGGAACCACATCTTCTTCTTCTTAGTTATGAGGTTGTAATATGTCTTTGGGTGGGTTAGCGACATTATGTATTATAGGATGGGACATCAGGTTGTACCAAGCCTTGTACTCCTCTGAGGGCAACCATTGGCAGTATCTTCTTCAATATCAGGCATCATAAGGTCATGACGAGTCAACCAGTGTTGGATTTTGTCTGTATTCACATTTTGCCAATCTCGCTGTCCACCTTGTCTGCTAGACCTCTTACCAATAGACAATGGATTTCTTGGAATGCCCTGTTTAGCTCCAAATTACCGATGAATACTATCTAGCATGTATGGCTTGGTAATATCGTCAAATATGAACGTTGTTATGCACATTGCAGTTTCAAATGCCTGCTACCTATCATCTGAAATGACTTCATTAGGCTTGAAATAGGGATTCCATATTACTTGTTATATGATATGCAATCAGTCAATAAAAAAATTACAAATTCTTAAATACAATTGAAACTAATCAATATCAAAGTACATACTAACCTCATTAGGTTGGAGGTTATCAAATTCTTATCTAATGGGAGGCATCAGGTTATGTGGATTGCCATAATAATTCTTCAATGGCTTCCATCTTTTTGCCCTAGGCATATTTGGATATATACTATGCTGTATGGGCCTCATATGCATAATATGCTCATACGACCAACACTGCATTATATCAATATATGATAAGTAATAAATATTTTTGGAAAGCAATCTAAACTTTTATGCTTATGTCATATACAAAATAATTTACCTGCATAAGAGTGGTTGAACCACAAAAATATCTTCGCTTGAAAGTACAAGCTTTTTCAAGGGAGTGATAAAGAAATGCAAGGGTTGTAGCACCCCAAGCATATCTGGCGGCTTCCTCAATATCTTCAAAGAATTGCAAGTACCTTGTTGGCACTGTTGAAACTGACACATCAGCGAAAATGGTGACGTTGATGAAGAAGATCAGATATGCTCGAGTACATCTAACAACTTCAACAGGGGTTGCATCAGGTGGCAATTATCTAAAATTGGCCTTCAACCACTATGATTCAGGGTTGTCCGGTTCCCATCAGGGACTATACCCAAATTGTTCTATAAACTCTCGCAAGTCACTGATAGGATGACATGTAACTGGCTTGCCATCCACAGCCAGTCCTAATATCTCATACACATCAAATAGAGTTGGTGTCATCTCACCAATTTGAATGTTGTAATGGAATATATTGGTCTCAGAACGTCACTTCTCTGGCTGAGACCAAAAGATGATCAATTCGGTCTGGACGAATAATAGATAGCGCACCCAAGCCAAACGCGTTCACTAAATGAACTTGCTCATCTGTTAGATGCCAATCGTTTAATTGAAAAGTCTTCTCATCAATACTAATTTCTTGTTTCTCCTGGAATACAACAAATAGGCAACATATTAGTCCCAATATATATACATGTACTTCTCATATGATGTTTAAACCTGACTACAATTTATTGAAAAATAACAAACTATTAGAAATGATAGATGAATATATGCATGTTCATGTCCTTCCCATATGAAATATGATGCATGTTCTGGATGAAGTTGCTACAAACTAGGGTCCTGAGCACCTCCTGGTATCCTCCATCAAGATATACATGATTCATATTCACTGAAACCTCATGTGGTCACCATGTTAATCATAAGGTTACATATGCAAAACTTAACTGAACCAGTACTACTATATCAAAATAACCTAGTGTTATTAAACCTAGTGTTATAGACCTAGTGTTATAGACCATAACCTAATACTACTCTATCAAAAGAACATGATAATATAATGGAATGAATTTCGAGACAACAGTAACTCATAATGTATTTGCATAAAGAATCAATGAAACAATGCTAAGTCACAAATCGAATGAGCTCTCAAATAAATGTTCAAATGTTCAAATGACCTCACAAAGGACCTCATCAGGCTTGAAAATCTATCATTGTTACTTGAATCATAAATCATAAATCATAATTTAAATAAATCTACTCACGAATTACTTTGCAAAATATTCAAAGTAAATATGTACTTGAATCCTAAATCACATACAAATTTTCATTGTTAAGCTACTCAATCTATTAACAACAAAAATCAACCCTTTACTAAGATATCATTAAATTTAACACAAATCTGTACTTAAAACTACCTAAGAGTATAAACTCCCGAGTTTAAAAAATTTAGAGCTCCACAAAATTTAAAACTACCTAAGACTTGAAATGGACAGTCCACAAAATGTATCAGAGGCTGGACCATTTTTAGGGCTCCAAATGTTTTTCTCCTTTTATGTTCAAATCCTTGGTCGATAAGGTAGAAATGATCAATTTGCATGTTTTTTAGCACCAGAATTATACGTTCCCTTGAAATTAAGGTGCAACTTTATAAAGCCATGTACAAAATGCATTCTTTTCGAAATATCACACTGACTGAATCTCGGATGCAAAATCTTATCTTGATTTCGTAGAAGAAATTTCAAAGAAAAAGAAATGCTCAATGTTTTGAGAATTTTATTTCTCTTGGGTTTAGGAGAAAAGAGTCCCTTCATGGACAGACATGATCTTATTCAAAATAGAAAGCTTTGCGAACATTAGTGTTACATTGCATAGCTATGAGTCAATTGACTCCATTAAGGGCTCTAATCACAAACCACTAAGAGCTCATCTATGCGTGAAAGTGAACAATTTACATGGTGATGAGATGTGATTAACTAGGACAAGGCATCATAGGGCACAATCCCTCTAGCATTAATGCAATGGATTAAAAATAACACATGGATTAGGGCCCAAAAGCCATGCATTTTGCCTCCCAAAAGGACAAAAATAAAGTGGAAAAGAAAATTGAGGGAGTGAGTTTGAGGGTTGTTTAAAATGAATCAATGATGCTTTGCCATACATTAGGCAACATGGAAGTCCTACCCATGTGAAAATGATGAAGGTGTGCAGATCATATCAAGAAAAACCAAAGAGAAGAGGGGACAGTTTTGTAGAGACCACAAAATTTCAAGTTCTCGAAACCTTCAAATTTGAAAAATTTTATATAATCAAAATGGAGCCACAAATTAATTGAAATTAAATCAATTTCACAAGAAAGAACTAGTATGCTTGAGTATAAACCCTAAATAAAAATTAGATGGCAATCTAGATCTCTAAAATCGACCCACATACCTTCACTATGTGAAATGCCTTCAAAACTCGAGAAATGCGGTCAAAGACGTCTTCACTCAGTGAAATGCCTTCAAAACCCTAGAAATGCTGTTAAAGATGCGCACTATTGAAAATCCGAGAAATTTGTGAACTAGCTACTTTTCTTTAACACTGAGAGAGCAAATACGTGCACTCACGCACTCACAGAGCAAAGACAGAAGCACATAACAAAATGCAGAAACACAAAGCAAAACGTAGAGAATATAAAAGATAAAAGCTATCGGGCTCATTTTCGGTTTGAACAATCGAATTAAAACTATTTTCGATTGTTTAATAACCGAAAATGAAAATGTGAATGTTGGGCTATTTTCGGATATTGAACATCCAAAAAAACTCTTCAATTCAGATGTTGAATCCCTGAAAAAGAGTAAAGTAGTCTGTTTTAAAAAATTGAAAAGGTAAAAAACCATAGACATGTAAAATATTCCTATTAACGCAAAATATACGGGATATGTATGTAATTTTCCATTTTTTTAATAATAAATTTGCTTTTGGGGATATTTCCTAGTCTAACTCTGTTGACGGTGCACTTGTTCTCTCTATTCGACGGTGAATCTCTCCCTACCAATCAACAATTCTCTCTCTCTCACTCTGTCTCTCTCTCTCTCTGTTGACGTGATTCGTTCTTTCTCTGTAAGAGAATTGTGGCGTATGAGAGAGAAGGGCGCTTGTCTGCCATGACCCTGAGATTATTATATGAAAAGAGGAGCTAAATAAATTTGTGTGTTTTTGGAGGATAATGGTATTTGAGAACCACTCAAATACCATCTTCTTGATTTTGAGGATGCCCTCTGTTAGAGAAGAAGACAGTAGTAGTAGTAGCAGCAGGGAGACAAGGGAGGGGGAAGATAGGGCATGGAGAAACACCAGTATCAACAGGAGGTTAGAGAGAGAACAATCGCCATCGCGGATGTGGGGTGCATTGCTTATTTTCGGATTGATAGGAACCACTTACGCAGTAAGCCTCAAACCGCCCTATTTCTTAGTTGTTCCAATCTTGTTCTCTCTCTCTCTGGTTTTCCTAGCCTGTAAAGTTATTATGCCCTTGTTGATGCTCTTTATTTTGCTTCAGAATGTTTTAGGGTTCTTATCTTTGGCTTATCTTTTGTGTTTTTTTATCAAAGTAATGTTTGTGAAATTGGGTGATGGTGTTTGCGTTTCATGTCTAGAGTTATTTTAGTCCTGTGATTATGTGGTTCTGTTAAGATATTCTTTTATTATCAGCTATATGGAGGTTTAGATTAATGCATAGCTTTTCTTTCTTTGCAAATTATGGATGATTGGGTTGAGAAAAGGCAGCCTTTTTATGGGTTACCTTGGGCTGAGTATTGGACTTTTGAAGTTGAGGGATGTGGATTATGTTGGTGTGTGCTAATTATTCCACAATTTATCTTTTTAGTTGGCAAGCATCATTGTTTTAGAATGCCCAGGTATAACGTAGATTTTGGGATGTATTGGTTGCAGAGTAATTAATGCTATACTCCAGGTATAATGTAGGCTTTGGGATGTATTGTTTGCAGAGTAATTAATGCTATACTCCTTTCCAGTGCTAATATGCTTTATGTTGAATTGATATGTGGGAGTGCCAAGAATTCATTGAGGAAAGATATCAAGGGCTTTCATTCTTTGAAGTTTGAACCTTCTAAAATCTACTCTTAAGTTTGGAAATTGATCAATGTTGCTACTATATGTTGCTCAGAGGGTGCAAATGCTTCCTTCTACTTATTCTATCCGATTGAAGCAACACTCACATTGTGAAGTTTGCATTAAACTTCACCCAGACCTATACAACTCATTATATTCTCTCATTTGAGGTAGATTGGAAAAATTGGGAAGGAAGAAGTCTTATTTTCCCCTCTTAAGTATATAGGAAAAGTTGCGAATGGATGTAACAAATGGTGCACTGGGCTGTTTTTAATAGTATTAGGGTTTCCTACAAAAAAAAAAGGGGGGGGGGGAAGAGTTGATCGACTACAAGCATGATTTTTTTCTTTCTTAGAGTTTGTTGGTTTCCATGCCTTGTCTCTGCAGATTACTGTTCAAATTCCCATCTGTGAACATGTGGGCTCTTCCTGATTCTGCTGTGGACCATTATTTCATCCTCATTGACTTCTTGAATGTGGATTGCAGTTCATTTGTAAACATGCATCTAGACAATCCAGGATTTTGGGTTTTGGTGGAAGAGTGGTGGAATCTTAGTTTAGTAGATGATGTGCTGGGGGAAAACTAGTAGTATTGAATGTGAACCTCAAGGAGGTGGAATAAAGCTAGCTTTTGGTCAGGGGAAATGGAAGGTGAAGTTCCGAGGAAATGGTAATGTACCCTTTTTTCAATACTACTTCTCATGTTCGACGCCCAAAATGACCTACCCAAAAGAAAAGAGGATTTCATAGGACTTTGTGTCAAGACAATGATGAAGGGTACAAGTATGATTTGTCAAATGGGAAGAGATTTGCAGGCTCATGAATCATGGGTTTTGGGATATGACAATTTGAGGTAAGTGGTGCTAGCCCTTTGAGGAGTTTATGGATTTATGGTACAAAGCTATTGAATGCAAGTATTGTTGAAGGTTGGATGAGCCACCAGGGAGAGGGATGTATTGGAGATTTTGATGGTGTGGAGAATGATAATGTCAGGTCGAGTTTAAGAAGGTTGTTGTATTTAGGATTAGTGATGATAGGGTCTTGATTTTTGTCGAACGTCTACAGTTCTTATAATTAATCTAGGAGCATTTATAGAGATTGGTGTTGGTCACTAGGAGCATTTCTAGAGATTGGTGTTGGTCGCTCCTAACCTCTGTAACTTGTTTTAGTTTATGGAGTTTTGGGTTTGTGTGGTGCCTTGCCTTGGGAAGGAACCTTGAGGAAATAATAGAGTGGGTTCATTTATTGTATAGCCAGTTGGGAACTTGGATAGTGTCTTGTAGATGTGTTTGGCACGATAGTTTCAGGAGATCCAGTGCCCATTTGGATTTTCCTCATTTCACATTCAGTGATGGCTCATAACAATCAACAAGATCCTTGTGGAAGATCCTCTTCATCGCCTAGGGTCGTGTTTTCCAAAACCTTTTTGCATCTTGTGCAGGTAATTTCATGGTCTTTTCTTTCTAAGTTTGTTTATAGTTCCTTGTCGAACTCTTTGATTTTGCTTAGGTCTCTATGTTTGATGGCTGTGGCTGTCCTTATGTGTTGTTGATCGTTTGGTCCTTCAAAGTGGTTTTTTTTTTTTGAGAGAAAGCTAACATTTGGTCCTTCAAAGTGGTTATCATGCCATTTTTTGGGTTATATCAAAGGGAATAACTACAGAATCTTCAGAGATATTTACAGTTAATGTGGTGATCACTGAGAGGATTCATAATGTAGCTATCTATCTCTTGGGCGTTGGGAAACCAAGACTTAGAGAGATCAGGCACCAAACATGGTTCGATATTGGAAGAGAGTGGCTTAAATTAGGAGTCTTAAAGCCAGCGGAACCCTTACTTCTTGGGTACCGTCCAGTGGGGGAGCTTGCAACTTAACTTTGATGGCGGCTCTATTGGTAATATGTCCCTTTTGGTGATGTAGGACCAGGGGGCTTGGCTCCTAAATGAGTGTAACATGCGAAGTGGGCTTAGCAAGAAATGGTATGTGTTAGATTTGGAAGTTCAACTTAGATTAGGATTTTGGAGTTCTAAAGGGTTTGTGTTTCCTACAAAGTTTTTGGACAACAATGGTATTATCATATCCTAGATTTTGTAGGAGTGGATGGTAGGAGGCTGAAAGGAGGTTGGACTTAGTTTAGGTCTATGGGGGATGGTTTGTTGATAATGTAATGTTTAGGGTTTGAGTTGAAGGATTTGATGGATGTTAAAGTCATTAAATTTTTATAGCCTAGCTAGATACAAGGATTGAAGTGGGGCATTTAACGTTGGTCCTAGGATTGAAAAGACTAAGAATATAAGGTTTATGGGTAGGATTTGTTGGATGTTGGTTTTCTTAGATTTTAAAAAAGCTTTTGGGATGATGGAGGTGGCATTTTGTTAGGGTTTTTAGCAAGATAGCAGAACATAGAGAGAAAAAAACAGAGAAAGGATGGTTGAAGAAGAAAACTTAAATTCTTACGAGGCCTTAATATCTTATACAAATTAGGAGGCTCAATACCTCAATCAAATTAGGAAACCAACCTAGAATTGTATTGCATCAACACCAACCAAAATTAGGGTTCATGAGTCAATACTATTGAAGGAGGCATCAATACCTCAGGATAGAGTCAACACCATCAAGCAAAATTGAATGTTGTTCTCAACTCAATTCGATTGATTGGCCATATATACAGATTTCCAACGGGTTTGGATCTTTCCTAGCTTGTCTCGAACTCCAATCTTTATCAAACTTACTTAGAAAACTAGCTTTAGAAATTAGGAAACTAGGAATACTTTAGGGCATTCCTTTGGATGCTTTTCTAGGCACTGTTTCCCATGAAACAAACGTGGGAAATTGGCATGGTTATTGGAAATATCTCTCCCCGAGACAGTTTTCCTATATAACAAACATGCCATTGTATTTAGGAAACCAAGTTCCTATTTGCAAATACAAAGCTCTCATAAAAAATAAACTAAAACCTATCATGAAAAAGTAAGGAAAATCAATTTCTAAAACTTAGATGGAAACACTGTTAATATTCTTCATAAAATGAAGAACTAATTGAATTTAAATCTCTCATAAAATATAAAATGATCACTAACCTTTTCAGTAGTGTCTACCAAAATTTGATGCTTGAAAATTTCCAAATTAGTGACAAACCCTAGAGATACTAGTTGTAGACTCGTAAGAAACCTCCAATTTAAATTCTAATCACCCAAATGGATATCCTGTTTAAAAATTATGTCTTTGGGAACGTGACTGCCTCACTAGGTTTTGGAGTATATGTAGGGAATCGCCAAGAGAGGTTTGGTTGGCTTTCTCAAGGGTGCTGAGTATGCTATTTGCGTGAAGCTAAGCCAGGATGCTTGGCATGTTTGAGGGTGTTCTGCTGCACCCTGAAACCTTTCAAGCTTACTAATGTTTGTGGGCAATGCTCTCAATATTATCAGATGGGTTTAGAGGGATTTGGCACTACAAATATATCAAAAGAGATTCTTAATGATTGGCCAGAAAGGAAGCAGTCTTTTGTCCCATCCTTGATAATCTAATGCATAAGAACGACTCCTTGGTAGAAGACTATAGACATTTTGGTTCTAGGGAATATTCTTCAACTTCTAATATTCTAGTCTTTATTTTAAGAATAGAAAAATGTGTTTTATTATTGTTTTATGTTGTGTTTGATGTACACATTCTGAACTAAGTCCAAGTTTGTACTTATGTCCTCATTTAACAATTAATAAAATCTTGAGTATAAAATAGTTTTAAGAAAAATGCACGGGAATGCTAATAGATGAAGACAACGAACAATTTGATTTTCATCTGGATTTCAACTGAAGCATATCAATTACTGGGCAATCGTCTGCAGCAAGCAATGGGAGACCCACTGAATCAGGCATTGTGGCAAATGCTGTGTAGGTTCATGCAATAAATGTGCTATTTGTTAGTGTAAAACACATTTGCAGAAAGGAAAGCAGCAATGCAAATTTTTTGGTTAGGATGCCATCTTGGAAGAACAGTTTTGGGCTCAAAATTGACCATCAAATCAAATGAAAATGTCATAACTTAATCGATCAAAGATGCTTGTTCACAGAAAACGGATGACCTGAATAAAGTGGCATGGAGTAAAGGTCTGGCTTTGAGATGAAGTATGTTACAACTTGGCGAGGAGGGAACGAGACCATGGAGGTGATGATTGGAAGTAAAAACTCATGAAATGTGCTGCTTTGGGCAGTTGTGCGGGGAACAAAGTGAATTTCGATTAATTTCTGGGGGCTGTCCCTTTAACCCTTTTGGATCTTGATTGTTGAGAGCACATCCCAAGTTATATGAGAAACAG